TTCGATGAATCGTTGGTATTGGAAGAGAAGCTCAATGAAGATACCAAGAAGAAGGTGAAAAACGAACATAAGGACAAGGTAGGTGCAATTACTTATTATTTTGTATCACATTACTACTCCTCGTCAATCTGGCCAAGCTGACCTGATCTGATCTGACTGTAATATCCTTCTTGTTAACCATAACAAAATGAATTACAAAAAAAACTTGCCTACGGTTTAAACCTTTTGTTAATCCTCGCAATTTTCTATATAGGGGCTAATACAACTGAGCGTGTCATCAGATACTGGTCCCTCTGTCCTACTTCCGATCTAATACTGTAGAAAATCATGTGCTGGTATTGCATACTCAATGTGCTGTCTTACTTGCAGTAACGATTACCATATTTTTAGTAACAGTGGTTTGATTGTGTTTCATATCCAAGTCGATCGGTAAATTACCTTCGTTTGCAGAATGCTGGTTCAGGCGACATGGTAGTTCCAACACTACCGAATTCCAATATTTCAATTTTTAGCACAGAATTTTTGGAGTACAACAAGAGTATGTTATTCTTTAAGCGTTTCGTTAGATATTTCGAATAGCTACTGCTCCAATTTAGATCGAGAATCACAACTTCGGTCTCTTCGTCGTGAAATTAGCGTTGCCGAGGCGGAAAAAGCTTCCATGCAAGAAACAATTGTGAAGATGCGGGAGAATAATGTAGCTTTCGAATCCCAAATTGCTCATGGTTAGTCCCCTTTACGATTTCAACATCAGACCCAGAATACTCACTCAGCTTACCTGTCACAAGATTAGCTCCACATCCCTTAGAAAATGCGCCATTTGCAGCTGATAGTTATGATACAGAGCACCGTTCACTCCACCCTCTTGCAGTTTGCGGCAGGAATTTACACTTATCGCACAGGTCAAGAATTTGCGATTCCAATATTCCGCTGAATCACAATCGCCGTGACGCAAAGTTTCCAACGTGACCCACTGTTGGGCCATAGTGTCATCAGTTAATTAAGAAAATGACCTACGAGCAAAGCTATTGCTTCAGAGAGCCAGATGAGCGATAGTGGACAGAGCCAAGTTCCGAGTAGGCCTACAGCGAACAGAGGCAAAGTTCGCGAGTAGCCATGTCACTGCCTTTACTTTCCCCTTAGGTCTCGATTTCATAGTTAGGGCCGATGTCATAGTTTGCGAATCGCTAGCGAATCGCTCGATCCGAGCGTTGCGCCAGCGAATCGAACGTTGCACCAGCGAATCGAACTTTGCGCCAGCGAGTCGAACGATGTACCAGCGAGTCGAACTAGGTACCAGCGACTCAATAGTGGCGGGACCCAACTTTCAAAGGAAAGCCCGCCACTTTCAAACAGTGCCCACTTCCAAAATGGCGTCGCGTTGTCCACGGTACATTACCTCGCCTTGAAATTGGCGTGGGCTCTTTGACGTTTGTCCCGGCCACTATCGAGGTCGCTTGTGTACAGGTAGTTTCAACTTGCAGTCATCGGTGCGATCGCGCTGGTGCAAGATGTGTGAGTGTTCGGGCTAGTGCGAGACGGTTTCGAGATTCGCTTGCAAAACGCTTGGAGTGAGCGGAGGTGCGCTGCGGGATCGCACTATGACATCTGGGCCTATTGTAGCGGTGAATCTGGCGCGTTCGGCTGTCCTGGTCTTCATGGGCCGCGACGCTTGGGCCGTTCATTTCACGGGGGCGGGGGCGTACCGCGAATGAGCGCTTATGGCCGTGGCGGACGGGGTTGGGGTGGCGCCCGCCTAGCGAATCGCGTGGATTCGACGCGCTTGCCCAGCGAATCGACCGATGTCCGATGCCATAGTTTGAATCAGCGAATCGCTCGATTCGCAAACTATGACATCGGCCTTAGACATTGTGATACAACGGAACAAAACCTATCTTTTTACTGGATTGCGGTTCAGTAACCCGGATTACTGTGAAAAGAAAACTAGTCCACGTGCTCATTGGAAAAAAAAAACAAATTTTCAGACAAAAAGACGGGTAAAGAAGCTGACCACGTTATAGATTGTTGGATGCGAGTGCTGAGAGGTGCAATGAGCGAAACTATGAAAGGTGAGCCTTAACAGACTTATATACTCTTTTTCTTATGCGGTGCATATCCCACGATAAACGAATGGTTTACCTATGAACTTGTTTAAAAATTAGGTGGGTAAAGTCAGACGGTCCTTAAAATATTCCTTTTTTAATCCAAATTGGAACTTTTCCCATTCCAAACTTTGGCTCCAAGTTCCACTTCGGTTTGTGGGGCGCACGTTTGCTACGATTGACAAACAACCGCAGCAACGGTGCGCGATTATACGGCATTTTTATAGTAGGTTGTGCGATCGCACAGCATAAGATATGTATCGGTCTTCTAATCTGATTGAACGTGTCAGAAGATTGGACAATCGATACGTACCTAATGCTATGCGATCGTTGTTATCGCACGACCAACTATGAAAGCACCTTGCATGGCGTAAGTGCCGGTGCGTCCGCGCTGCAAATGCGAGGACCTGCACCGTATTCCCGCAGTGGGAAAGCCAAACTGATGTGACGCAACGTAGCGTTCTGTCACACACCCACCCCACCGGAGCTTAGCAGCATTTTTTTCTGAAATAAATTGAAAAGGCAGATGGTATTCGATAAAGGAGATCAACATAACTGAAGTTAATCTTTCTTCAGAGTACAACCTACACACTCCTGAAGAAACGGTAGCCTTCTTGACTAAGCTTGCAGACAATGACGCTCCCAACGAGGATGTGCTTCACGTGGTCAAAGAAGTGATCCATAGTGCGTCATTTCTCCTTCCCAAATAGGCCTCAGTTGGCAAAATCGGTTCCCAGTCGGTGAAGTCACTGACACTACTCGCTTCAAATGGATAAAAGACGTGATTAGTCCAACCCTTGGCGATCTTGGAAAAAGTGCGTATTCGACACATGTATAAAGTGCGCGACCTCAAGACATTCGGCTTGACAGCATATAAAGTTTCTTCGGCTCCACCGTAGTTAGTGGTGACTAACGCAGTTGCAACTGCATAATAAGACTGACCCTTTCGTGGCCGTTCGGGTTTATGCCCGTCTTCGCGGGATGTGGCTTTGTGAACCTGAAACTGCTCTAAACCCTGAAATTGCAATCGTTTTTGCCTACTGAGGCTACATGTGTGGTGTTGTTATCTTGTGTCTAGGATATCATATTTCTAATGCTTATGTTTATTGTTATATTCATTATTTTTTTGGCTCAATCCTGTTTTAACAGAACTGCTGTTCATGAATCGGTGTATTTCCTTTCCTAATTATGCATGCGTGTTTTTAGCACAGAGATACTCAGTGTTGAAAGAAAAAGTCGATCTCAATTAATTTTTTATACCACAACTTAGAAAAATAAATATTCAGAATAAGGTATCTATGTTGAGAACCGTACGACAAACATTGTGTGAAAGAGGGCAACAAGGCTCCTTATGTATCCCTTTGTAAAACGTATCAATAAAAGGATAACAACTAGCACTATCCTGTCTAAATACATAGAATGGTTAGCCTTTAACTAGACCCTTTTCTTTGAGCTTTGTGATCAGCGTATGCACATCATCGACAAATTCTCCTGCTTGGCGAACGGGAGGATCGTTCACCTATAAAGTATCACAAGAAATAAGAAAAGACAAGAGAAAAGTAAACCAAAATCTCTCATAAGAATCAGTCTTTTAATGATGTGCGATACGTACCTCTAACGTTTTGGTTTGTGCTGTCATATCAACACCAAGATCTTTTGCGGTCAGTTTTTCCATTGGCTTCTTTTTTGCCTTCATGATGTTTGGTAAAGTGGCATAACGAGGTTCATTCAGACGTAAGTCGGAAGATAAAACAGCCGGTAACTTGACCTGAAGTAAGAGAGTTGTTTTTCGTTACAAAGTTCGCGTTCATAGTTTGTGACTCCGGAGATTATGATAGTTAAGATTAGGATACGCGACAATTGAAAAGATATGTTACCCTGGATGGGTGCGGATGACTTCGGTTTGGTGGCCTTTTAATGTAACGATAAAACGGTGGCTCAGTGGAATATTTATTACGAAGAGAGAGATTGAGAGTACGTGGGAGGATGGACCGTTCCCTACGCTCGCAGAAGTAGAATGTGTTCTATCTTAGGAAATACTCCGCACTCCGCCCACTCGAGAAGCCACTCGAGCGAGAGGAGTTGGTCGGTTACAGTATTGCAGGGGTCGTCGATGACGTCATATGTACTGACAGGGATATTAGGAGATTAGAATAGCAGAAAAGTAGGATCGTACGCTGACAAGCCTAGAGGTGTATCCATTGAAATTGCTGGGAGTAGTAGATTACGTTGTCACGATAGTAGTAGGGTAGGAGATTAGGAGTAGTGCGCTGACAAGATTAATACATATTCATCGGTCCCTGAAGACACCTAATCTACTACCTAGATTCCAGTCGATGAGTCGTACCTAGTCTTGTCAGCGCAATTTCCTACTCTACTACTATCCTAATATCCTAATCTTCCAATTCGCAAACTATGAACGCGGTCCAGTAAACTTCAAACATCCATGACACATCACTCACCTTTATCGTGTCCAGTCCCCCGTCAATTTCTCTGGTCACTTTCAGATGACCATCGTCCGCTTTTTCGACCTGAAATCGTCCGCTCGAACAAGAACTTCTCAAACAAGGAAATAAAGGGCAATTTGATAGTCTCCAACTTCTCCATTCATACCTTGTTGGCAAACAGTGCCTGTGGCCAATCTAACAAACCGGCCAAAAGTGGAGCAGTTTGAGAGGCATCATCGTCGATGGCCTGAACGAGTCACATGGATCTATACACAATGAACAATATAGAAGATGGAGCTCTGCTCAGCTGGCATCACGTCCACTGCTCAAATACATTACACCAAATCACGAAAAAAGATACTCGTTGAAATTTTTTCTAAAAATCAAGTTCCGTCGCATATATGAGGAGTATTTCTCGTAGCAGTCTGCCGTAACAAGCCCGAAAATTCGTCATTACCCTAACTGGAAGGGTTGCTGAATGCCGCGAAACAGAATGTGGCGTCGGTGCCAAAACGGTTCTTATTCAAAATCAGTGCGCTGAGAAACCTCTGTAGAGGGAATCTCAAGGGGACCATTTTTTCTCGAAACTTCGGGTCGTCGTACTCAAGCAGTGCAGGGAATTGGAAAAATGAAAAGAAGTACCTGTTTTCCTAGAAAAACTAAGTCGAACTTGTGTTTTTCAACAAGTTTTTGAAGCACTTTAGCCACATGTAACGGTTCAACCTTTGAGAGCTCAGCGTCAGGCACCTTAAAAACCTGCTTTTAAGAAAATGAACAACTTCGCAATGGATGGGCTACGAAACATACCTCAACATGGATGGCCTTGTCCGCGCCTTTTGCAAGTGCTGTTCGGAGAACTTCTTGAGACTTCGGACCTCCCAATGAAAAGGCTACCACCTCATTTGCTATCTTCTTCTCTTTCATCTTCACAGCTTCTTCCAAGGCAATTTCATCAAAGGGGTTCATGCTATGTTGGACGTTCTCCGTCACGACACCGCTTTTGTCTGGCTTCACTCGAATCTAAAGAGATGAAATTTTATCATCATTTGGCACTGTCGCTATTTTTCTTAAAAACGGAGTGAAGGCCTCCCATCACTCCAAAACATCAATTAGAAAAACGGACAAGGTGTGTTTTACTCCCTAAGTTTGATACTTACTACAAACACCGAAATACATGTCTTAATTTCTTTCTTTATCGTTGTCAATTTAACTGATATTAGCCCTTACCGATCAGTTCCAAAATAATATCAAATTAGTCACCCTGACAGACTACGAATAGCAGGTAAGAAACCTCGGAAAAATTATTCTTCCGAAAAAGCTCAATATAGGACATGAAGTTTGCGTACAGCGAGCGGTGTGGGCCGGTGCCTAGACTCTGGGATGAAGTATGGGCCGTCCTGGCTGCCAGATTTTCTCGACAACTGGCCCAACCTGGTTGGAAGCCAACGTCATTGTAGAGGTAGGGCCATGACTCGTGAATGATTCTATTGCTGGTGTCAGAGTCTGCGATCCGTCGCGAGTTTCGCGCGATTCGCGCAACGACAGAAATCACAAGTGCGCTATCAATACTGCTCTCCAATCCCGGCGCCAATTCTGTTCAGTGGTGATGGTTCGATGATGACTGTTCATGATCCTTCTTGTTTCATACTGTGCAAATATTCAAATGGGGCACTTGCGATTTTTGCGATTCGCGCGCAAAAGATCGCGGACTCTGACACCAGCCTTATATGTATCTCCAGAAATAACTCAGTAACGTCCTACCTTGACAGCATAGTCGATGACTCGCTTTACTCCAACCAAGACTTTCATCTCGATACCTGAAGACCGCATAATAAGTAGCTGTTCTTGGTGGTAACACGACGACGATATGAAGGAAAAACTCAAGAATGAAATTAATGCTTTGAAACTCTTGTAAAACAAAAATGTACCCATTATTTTCACAGAGATTAATATAGAATAGGGATCAATAAATGTGGCGCACTTCTATTAGAAGCTAACAGCGGTGTCTATTTAATAGTTTTACGAAAAGGATGGACCTGCGTTAAGATACCCCTAAGTCTCTCAGGTCCTGTTTTGCTTTTGGCAGTATGGAGGTCGTACGAATTGGCGGGGTGAATTCGGAATGAGAAGTGAAATTTAGCAGGTTCAGCAGGTGTAACGAACTTCTTGGAAAGGTTCAGGAGTTTCTGAAAAATTCTCACGAAATTTGTTGGGTTAGCCCTGGATATTTGTTGTACTAGTAAAACTCGTGGTGGCACCCGGTCTGATTATGAGTTTCAAGCAGCATTATCCATGAAGTTCGTATGCAATATGAAATCTTCATACATCAGTAGGTGCTGCTGCTAGGGAAGTTACTAAGGAAATAAAAGAAAATACTCCAGGGTAGGCAGGTAAAAGCTCGTAGGATCGGTTCCTTTGCAAGTTTGTTGCTTTGCTTTTGTCCGCAACACTTCTAGAGACAAAAGCAAAGCAACCAATTTGCAAAGGAACCGATCCTACGAGCTTTTACCTGCCACCCCGGACCATCACCACTGAGCTATTACGCTTCATAACTCCGTTCGGAGAGTCGTTTAGCAGATTTGGAAGGCAGATTTGGAATCAGCGTCTGGAGACGCATCAGGAGGTATACATTTCATTTCAAACGGCCACTTCGACCTACCATCCTTCCCTTGTAAGGAATCTTATGCGCACATGTTTCACGCAAGATGTTCTGTAGGAAATAGTTAATAAAAGTTCTGAGTTCTTTGTTTATTCACTTCTCCTTATTTGCATTTTAATCGTTTTTATTCATTTTAGTACTTTACAGGTGTTACTTCGCAATCTAGTGAAATAATACGAATCGATAACATCACAACGAAGTAAAAAAAAAAGCGAACAAAACGTGCTAGATAGCCAGAAGGTTGCGAATTTGGACATTTCGTCGTTCACGTCGGTGAAAAATCAAATTCAGATTGATCGGGAAAAGAAAGCCTCCAAAAAGGTTGGAAAATAAGCTATAATAGTACAGGTAATACGAGTTAAGTGAAGTGGATATTGCTCGAATCGATTGCGCACCGCCGAAATCGTTAATTTGATCAATGTCCAAAGTACGGTGAACTCGAACGGCTCTCACTGATAAAATCGAGCCCGTAATAACTTTCGAAGATCTGCTATTTTTACCTAATTATTTTCACTACTCAGGAAGAGGAGGCAAAAGGGATACAGAAAAAGTGGCTTATTTTCCCCGTGGATTTTTTCTTGGTCAGGCTTGGAAATTAGATAAGGAAAATTTTGGATTCTGAATCCCGCTGTCCAATTGCTATACGAAGTTATAAAATGGATTTTATACGAGAAGAAAGAACTGTTGAGTTTTGCTTAGTGTATGATGATTTAGTATAGCACATTGTTGTTTTCTTTTCCCACGTCTACCTTATGTAGCGTATGAATAAATAAATAAATAAATAAATAAATAAATAAATAAATAATAAATAAATAAATAAATAAATAAATAAATAAATGATAAATAACGTATAATACAGATGAGGAGATAAAAGTGGTGTTTTGTATTTCGCGCAACCGCCGCCTGTCAAGGCGGTACCCGTACCTACGGGAGCCGTAGGACGAGGCAGCGAGACTGGCCGTAGGCCAAGGAAGGTCGACGCGGTAGCGTCGCGGTCGAGCTGACCTCGGGATTTCGGTGTTGAAATCCCCATTCCGGCTTATCGTTAGATTCTGACAGGTCGTGTCGCACATTTATCGTAAAGTTTAATATTTATATCGCTATTCTCCAGTTACAGTGAGCTTGTATACATTGTACTGGTGGTTGTTGAACGACTGATTCGTGAAGTTGATCCGTATATCTCTATCATTGTCGGGACTCGCAGTCTCCCACGACATAGTCGTTTACTGTAATATTGTGTTGTTGGTCATCTCAATGAATGGGCATTGATGCGAATCGCTAGAAAGCTCATGGCAAAGGGCCAATCAAATGTGTTATTTTCCAATCCTTCATAGGTTTCGGCATGTAGTCATTGTATCCATTTTCTCAATGAGGATGGCGGCGTAATGTATAATTTTCCTTGTTTTTGAGACTAGTTGCCTTTATAGTTTAAGGGCATTCGTAACAGTAAGGTTACATCTTTCCAGGGAAACAGCGTTTTCCAATTATCACAAGGTCGCTCGGTCTCTCATGGCTTATATATTCCGCATACCATTGCGAATTGTGTGGACAAGTCCACAATAGTTACTGGTCCTGGGTCGCGTTCAGACTTTCTTGTATACATTTGCAGGACCCTTTGGCCTACTTGTCCACCCTTCCCTTTCTGGGGAACGGGAACTGCTGCGCACTAAGGCGCAATTTCAACCAAATTCCACAGGGTTTTTTGCATTTTTCGGAAGAATTCGGTCAGCTTGTGAGCAGTATCTCAGTTCTTGGCTATTGAGCCTACATACGTTTATCACGCAGGTGCACAGACTAGACAGTTAGTTATTTGCCCTCAAGGCTTGTAAGTGTTCCGCACTCTGA